AAGGAAAGAGTGAGAATCTCCCTGGGGAGGTGACAAATTAAAAAAAAAATCCCAGGTCCTTAGCTCCACCCAGCCAGCCCTAGCCAGTTGACATTACTTAGCATAAGAATGTGTTTCAGAGGGAGCTAGTCTGTGAAGCAAGTGGCAGGGATAGGCCCTGAGCCCTCAGGGAGAAGGAGCAATGGGTTTTTATCCTGAACATCTTTAAGCTCCTACTGTGTGCAGAGCTCTGAGCGAGGAAAGGATGGGGAAGGCGAAGGAACTGCGCGGGAAGGCGGTGTTCGGAGGAAGCTGCAGCTGAGGCTGACATCCCTCTTCCCCATCCCGCTCTCAGATGGCTACAAGGTAGTATTCCTACGCCGGAGCCCGCTGGTGCTGGTGGCGGTGGCTCGCACGCGGCAGTCGGCACAGGAGCTGGCACAGGAGCTGCTCTACATCTACTACCAGATCCTGAGCCTTCTTACCGGTGCGCAGCTGAGCCATATCTTCCAGCAGAAGCAGAACTATGACCTGCGGCGCCTGCTCTCAGGTTCAGAGCGTATCACTGACAACCTGCTACAGCTCATGTCACGAGACCCCAGCTTCCTGATGGGGGCGGCACGGTGCCTGCCCCTGGCGGCAGCCGTGCGCGACACTGTGAGTGCCAGCCTGCAGCAGGCGCGTGCGCGTAGCCTGGTCTTCTCCATCCTGTTGGCCCGCAACCAGCTCGTGGCACTCGTACGCCGAAAGGACCAATTTCTGCATCCCATCGACCTGCACCTGCTCTTCAACCTCATTAGTTCCTCCTCGTCCTTCCGCGAGGGCGAGGCCTGGACGCCCGTGTGCCTGCCCAAATTCAACGCAGCCGGCTTCTTCCATGCACACATCTCTTACCTAGAGCCTGACACCGACCTCTGCCTGCTGCTCGTCTCCACCGACCGTGAGGACTTCTTTGCGGTCTCTGACTGCCGCCGCCGCTTCCAGGAGCGCCTTCGCAAGCGCGGAGCCCACCTGGCCCTGCGAGAGGCGCTGCGAACACCCTGCTACAGCGTGGCCCAAGTGGGCATCCCTGACCTGCGCCATTTCCTCTATAAGTCAAAGAGCTCGGGACTCTTCACCAGGTGAGGGAGAGCCTTGAGGGCACTGCTCTAGGGGAACAGGGACATGTGGAGTTGGGAGGCTGTTTGGTCCAGGGCTCTGAGATGTAGCCCTGAAGCTGCCCTGACCTTTGGAAGCAGATCAGTGTGCTGGGTCTGTATTACTCAGAGACCCAGACGCTCCGTCGCCCCATGGGCATACCCCTCTCTACTTTATTACCCAGAAAGCCTGGAAATGCTCAACATACCCAGGGAAGGAAGCTGGAACAGAGGTCTCCTGGGTCCCTTGCCCTGGAGCAACTCTACTTTAGGTTTCATTTTGGTCCAGCCCAGGAGACAGAGTCCTCCTCTTCTCCCTCACCCAGCAGAGGGACTGGGAAGATATGGCCTCCCTTTGTCCCTTTTGGCCCAGAGGATTCCCAGCTCACCTTTCCTCTACTCCAGATCTGTCACTCTGTCTTGGACATCTAAACTCAACCTGGCCTCTCCAAAAGGGGGTCATCAAAGACACCATGAGCTTAGAGGGTGGCAGGGGACACAGCTCAAGTCTGAGTGGGCCCAGCCCTGTCCTGGGGTGCCTGCTGTGGTGGGGAGACAATGCCCTATCCTAAGGGAGCATCCAGAGGGTAGAACATCTGATACAGTCTCCCTGGATAGGAATAGGTGTTTCTAAATCTCCAGGGAAAGCAATGGAAGTCATTCCTTTACAAACCCACTCACCCGACCCCATGTGCAGCCCGGAGATTGAGGCCCCGTACACCAGTGAAGAGGAGCAGGAGCGGCTGCTGGGCCTCTACCAGTACCTGCACAGCCGTGCCCACAATGCATCTCGCCCACTCAAGACCATTTACTACATGGGCCCCAACGAGAACCTCCTGGCCTGGGTAAGGCGGCCCTGGGATGGGATGGGCTTCATGGAGGTCCTAGGTATGGGCCATGAGGGGCATCTAACCTAGATGACCACCCTTTGCCCTTCTCTAGGTGACAGGCGCCTTTGAGCTCTACATGTGCTACAGCCCCCTGGGGACCAAGGCATCAGCCGTCAGTGCCATCCATAAGCTGATGCGCTGGATCCGCAAAGAGGAAGACCGCCTCTTCATTCTCACGCCCCTAACCTATTGATGGGAATGTGTGTAGGCTCAGCCTTCCTGGGCCTACTGGGTGTGGGAAGCCATGGGAGCCTCCAGATGGGGGATGGCCTCTCTTGCCTAGCCAGCGGGCAGGGACTTTGGGTTGGTGAGTTCATTAAAGTGCTTTGGGGAAGACACTTGTCAAGCCCTGTCACTTGTCCCTTCGCCCATCCACCCTCACTCACATACAGACACTGGATCCTCCCTAGCTCCTGCACAGGGGCACAAGCACATTTGAGCCCCTCTCTTCCCTCCCTTGCACCAGCATGAGGCCATACACCTTCTCAGTTGGATCTTGGGCTGGGGCCATTTTGGTTCGGCTGAAGTCCTACCATATGTAAAAGGTTCTCAGGCACCATACTGCCCTACCCTACCCACTCCTCTCCACCCCATACTCAGTCTGAGCCTCTGCTGTCTGCCTCTCTTTTTTTTCACTTCCGAGTAGGGTCCCCAGCTGCATGCCACAAAAGACTACCCAACCACCTTGGGAGCCCTCGCTGTGGCTCTGCTTAATGGGTTGCTGTAGTTCAGCAGGGGCTGAGCTGAGTATAATAGAGATGGTCAGAGTCGGGGGAGTCCGAGCCCTGGTACTGGTAGGAGCCCTTGGTGAAGCAACCCAGTGTTCAGCTGAAATTCAGAATCCAGCCTCTCTTGAGCTGCAGGCCTCTGAGGAAACTGTCCCTACTTAGGCCTGCCCATGAAGGGCTGTGTGCCTCAGTTCTCCTACCTCAGCCAGTGCATTCCTCCAAATGGTCCCCAAGAGTGAGCTGAGGGTCTGAGAGAAGGCCCAATTGACCCTCCAAGGCAGAATTGAGCCTGCCATAGTAAGAGCTGATGCTACTACATGCACTGGGTCCTCCTTAGTCACCCTAGTCCCTGGCATGGCATGGGCAGACCTGCATGGAGCACCTTGGACATCCCGGAGGCTCAGCAGTGAAAGCCCAGCCCCATTTATTCTACCACAGGACCGAGGGCAGAGTGCAGAAAGCTTCCATTTTACTGCCGGGGGATCTTCTAGTTCTGGCCCCAGCGACCAAAAGTCCTAGTAAGTACTTGTCAGAGAAAACTATCCTCTGAATGTGGTCTTCAGACTGTCAGAGAGAATCACCCTCGTGCAGTTTCTGAGAGTTGGGCCAATATTTTCTGCCACTAAAATCAAGCCATGTTGATGAATGGGCCTGTGTGGGTGGCATGGGCCCAGGGTACGCTGGAACAGTTGTATTTATTATCCCAGAAAATGGAAGCACAGCCCCAGCCCTTGGCCCCACCCTGGCTCACATTGGAATGGACATGGCAGCAGGCTACCCGCCCATATTCCAAAGCCTTTGGGGAGCAGCCATAGGCTTGGTGGGTGCTGTTCACCCTGCACACATGGCCTGGGTCTCTTTTATCCCTGTTTTCTGCTTTTGTTCCTCCCCTGCTCCTGGTAAGGATACCAAACCACTGCCTCTGGGGCCTGGGTGATGCCAGGCCAGCTGTCTCTGACTGTTATGGGCATTCTGGTCAACAGTGAGCCCCTAAGTGTCTCTTTTGGTTACCCTGACTCTTGTAGTTTTCTCAGCTTCTCTGTAGTTCAGCATATATTCTAGGGAGATAACAGGATAAATGTGTGTACATAGGACAATAGACACCTAGGAGCATGGGGTGTACCTGCTTGGGGATCAGGGGCGGGATGACAGGCAAATAGGGAAGGTGTTCCTAGTGGAGGAACCAGCATGTGCAAAGGGGAGGACTTGGTAAGAACCAAGTATAGGCCAGGGGCGGTGGCTCATGCCTGTAATCCTAGCACTTTGGGAGGCCAAAGCAGGCAGATCACTGGAAGTCAGGAGTTTGAGACCAGCCTGGTCAACATGGTAAAACCCTGTCTCTACTAAAAACACGAAAATTAGCCGAATGTGGTGGTGTGCACCTGTAGTCCCAGCTACTCAGGAGGCTGAGGCAGGAGAATCGCTTGAACCCAGGAGGTAGAAGTTGTAGTGAGCCAAGATCATACCATTGCACTCTAGCCTTGGCGGGTGAAAGAGCAAGACTCCGTCTCAAAAAAAAAAAAAAAGAACCTAGCCAGGTGCAGTGGCACATGCCTGTACTCCCAGCTACTAAGGAGGCTGAGGCTGGAGGATCACTTGAATCCAGGAGTTCTGGGCTGTAGTGCACTGTGCCTACTGGGTGTCCGCACTAAGTTTGACATCAATATGGTGACCTCCCAGGCGCGGGGTGCCACCAGGTTGCCTAAGGAGGGGTGAACTGGCCCAGGTTGGAAACAGAGCAGGTCAAAACTCCTGTTCTGATCAGTAGTGGGATTGTACCTGTGAATAGCCACTGTACTCCAGCCTGGGCAACATAGTGAGACCCTGTCTCTTTAAAAAAAAAAAAAAAAAAAAAGAACCTAGTATTATTCGTTTGCAGTGAAGCTGGAAGAGTCCACAAGGCCTGGGGTTCTCCAGCACCAGGTAAACTGCAGTGTGATGAAGTCATATTGCAGTTAGATTCCCTTACTACTGCTAAGGTGATCTTGGGATTAGAGAAAGAGGCTAGACCTAGTTCTCCAGCACAGTGTTCAGAGGGGACTGAGAGCTCAAGGAGGGGGAAATCGCTAGCATTCCTTCAAGGACGTCAGGTGCTAGGGCAGTTGAGCAGGTGCTAGCCAACTATGGGCCAGGCCTGGTGAGTTTACCTTGGGGGTGCCCTTGTACTTGGCATTGCAGAGCCCCATTAGCTGACCTCCCACACACACCTTGACTGCTCCCTCCTACAGAGACGGCAGATGGTGAGAAGGGGAAGGGGGTGCTCCTGTGTACCACTGCTGTTGAGGACCAAGGATGCCTTAGAGGGGAATTCAGCCTGGGGACAACGATCAGCGTGGCCACACGGTGGCAGCAGAGAACCAGCTGATGGTTGCTGCACCCCCACCCCGAAAAAGGGGTGGGTGGGGCAATCTAAGAGGGCTTGTGAAGTCTCCTCCCAACCCCCAGAGATCCCTCTGAAAGTCTGGAGGTGGGATTTGGGTCACCAGAACCCATATCTGGGTGCCAGACTGAGAATGTTTCATTTCAGTTTTGCCCTGCCTATATTTAGATGTGTTGACTGTGGATTGCAGGAACTATTCCACGGTTTTCCCTAGGTGTTTATTCATTTCCTGGCCAATTCTGGTTTGGAAAAGGAGTGCCCTTTATGTCACCCCTGGGCATAGTATCATCCCTGCACTGGGTGTGGCCGCCCCCAGTGCACATTTCCTCTTTCAGTCATCAGGTGCTCATAGAGCTCCAGGCTGGAAGAAGGGGGAGTCCTGCAATGGGGATGGAGGAAGAGTCAAGTATCCAGAGTAAACTGTGCTGGGGTGGGTGTAGTGCTGGGTCTATGGGACCCAGGAGAGGGGCCTGGCACAGTCTGGATCATGAAGACTTCCTGGAGGAGGTGTCATTTAGGTGGCAAAAGGAAAGAGTGCTCCTGGGAGGAGGAACAACACTTACAAAGGTCAGGTTAGGAAGGGGATGCAGGCCCAGAAGAATGGACTGAAAGGGGAGTGAGGAGATACAGCTCCCCAAGCCAGGCTAAATCCTGCTGGGCTGAGGGCTCCTCTTTCCCCCAGCCTCCATATCCTCTACAGCCTTTGGACCCATAGTTTACAGCCCAGAGCCACCCTGTGGATCTTCCCCATCTTGCAGGGTCCAGGCCCATCTAGCTGAGGGGGCTTTGAGGCTAAGATTGTCCCCCAGGAGCCTCAGTCTAGTGTCAGGAGGACCACTTATCAAGGGGCAGCTGCTGAGATCCAGGTATGGGACTAGGCTCCCCCACCCAGACTCCTCATAAACAGACTGAGAGGAAAGAACTCTGGGAAATCACCTAATTGGAACTACATTTTCTTTTCTTTTTTTTTTTTTTTTTGAGATGGAGTCTTGCTTTGTCGCCCAGGCTGGAGTGCAGTGTCACGATCTTGGCTCACTGAAGCCTCCACCCCTCACCCCCCAGGTTCAAGTGATTCTCCTGCCTCAGCCTCCAGAGTAGCTGGGATTACAGGCACCCACCACCATGCCCAGCTATTTTTTGTGTTTTTAGTGGAGATGAGGTTTCACCATGTTGGCCAGGCTGGTCCTGAACTCTTGACCTCGTGATCCACCCACTTTGGCCTCCCAAAGTGCTGGGATTACAGGTGTTAGCCACCACTCCCAGCCATACAATTTCTTTTTTAATTTTTTTTTTTTTTTTTTTTTTTT